GATGAGGGAAGAGTTGAGGCAAGATGATGATGTAAAGAAGGCCAGGCTGAGATAGAGGCAATAGTGTTGGTAGATCTGCATGTGGGGAAYGCAGAACAAGCCCTGAGGCTGTCCTGCATGGATTGAGGTGAGCTTTTCAATATTAACACAAATATCTCTTTTTCCTGATCATGACTGCGAAAGGTGAAAAGGTCATTTGAACTGTGTAATCAGCAGAAAAAATGAGAGACTTCTCTTTGGAGGAAAAAAAGATCCTATTCTGGRTCTCAGAGACCTGTGCCATGGGTCTTGACTGATGGTACTTCAGAAGATGAGAAGAACTGAACTTCCCCAGCCTATTTTGTTGCACGATGTGAGGAAAATGTTGGGAAGGGTTCTGGCACTCAGCACTCTTGTTTGTGAGGAGTTTGTTGCCTTGGTGTTGACTAGAAAGGCTAAAGGGCAGGGCCTCTGTGCTGGAAAGAAAAAAAAAGAAAAAAAGACAAATTAAAGGACTGAAAATTGAGTTTAGAGGTTGGACCTTCGGTGCATGGTGAATTTTAAGGACATCAGAAATTTAGGATTGCAGAGATAAAGCTTTAGAATCAGGTTTTACTTCCAAGGCAAAAATGTGGAATGTTCCCTTCTTGGGAACCTAGGAAGCCTTCTAGGGAAGACCAAGTGGGTCTTGAAGAGGATGGGGCACAGACCTCATGAGGGAACTGCAAGGAAACAAGATGCCCTGCTGTGTTATGTGGGGTTTGATTCCTTGGGCAAAGTATGCTACTCCCAATGAGCAAGGGGAATTGGGGGAAGGTGAAAGGAGAGACCATMTGCAGAGGCAGTGCAGGAACCAGACAGCTTAACCCAAGAAGGGATCCTTTCACTKAGAATATGTATACACCATGAGTGCATGCAGCATGTGTAATGTTAGCACAGTTTTGTCCTATGTAGCATAGCATCTCATTCACAAGGATCCTCACACTGCATGCACTCAGTTACACACAAGTATCTCACACACATGAATAGATGCTGTCCTCAGAGGCCAGTCACATTATAATTAGCCACACTACAATTTTGCACACAACTATGGAGGACATAGCTCCCTGTAACACCTCATGCCAGTATTTTCAGCAAAGTGCAGATTCATACACATGCACTTGTTCTCCCTGTGGTACCACACTTACATACACAAACACATATGCATATAAATGTCCCAACATGAATGTGTGTAATACACTGCTGAAAGAGGACASAGCACTGACACACACATCCTTATATCAAAAGACAGATGATTTTTGGTGWCACGCACACATGCAAACCTGTGTGTACCTACTGCACTAAATTGTCCTTGTCCTRCATTTTCATACCTATAGGCTCACTCATGAAACCACTGGCAGACACAATTTTTCATGCCTTCCAGGACAAAACAGTCACATGCAAGTGAAACAAAAAACATCCATTTGAGATGCACAAGCAAAACGCACAGATGTACATGTGCAAACACACATGCACATACCCCTTGCCTCCTGTTTGCCTTGATTTCTCTCTCCCTTGGCCTTTGTTTAACCACTGATGGTGCTTCTTCTATGTCCCTGAAGCACAAGAGCAGATGGCTTGGAGGTCAGTTTAGGATAATGGTTCCCTACTCCACTAGTGGCTCTTTTCAGCTGCTTAGCTCAGAGATAAGCATCTYGGAAATGGAGTTCCTCCTTGCCTACTCACACACAAGATATCTCCATGCCATCTCTCAGCTGCTATTACCAGTCCTGAGTCCGCAATCCTCTTTAAATTGCCTCYATGACAACACTTTAACCCATGTAGCACTTAAGGTCATGGTGGCTCTTCCAGGTTCAGCAGCATCTGTTGGCTTTGGCAAAACGAGCCACTGTCATTTCTGTTCTGCTCTGTACTTACTCTTTGCAGAAGCCCAGAAGATTCTCCCAATTGTCCCCTTTCAGCCTGCATTATTCATCTCCTATAATGCAAAACTGATGTTTGTGGGAGGAGGCATACAGGTACAATCAAGCATAGCATAGAGGAAAAGACATTCCTAGCAAGCTGAAATTGCCTGGGTGCTCAAGACAAGTTTAACTGGAAGAGGGGAAATTTTTACTCCTTCAAAGCACATTTGAAAAGTGAGAGGGATTGATGGAAGGAAAGAAGAGGTAGCTTGGAGGGGTTGAAGTGGTAGTGGGGCTTCCCTGCATGCTTTTTTCTGGCCCCTCTCATGCTGCCACACGAATGTGTGTGTGGTTTTATATGTGGGAACGTGGCAGCATTGTGGAGGAAAGTGTGAAGCAGGTGGATTTGGGGAGGGAAGGGTCTACATGCCAGCATAATGGTGGGGAAAGTGTAATTGCATGTGCAGGTAAGGAGCACGTGCACATGGTGGGGATGTGAGTGTTTTGCAAATAGCTATGGAAGCAGGCTGCTAAGGTATGTGTGAATACGTGAAGGTAAGTAGTTYCCACTTAAGGCTATTTGGATATGTACATCACTGACTTAGACAGAAGTGTGTGTGTCCGGACTTGGAGCCCATGACTGTACAATAACATAGGGCAAGAGCTTGTAGGCTTCTCTCCATTTTTTCCTGACAAAATCCTGTAGGAGTCATGGATAATCTGATTCTTGGGAGTTGTCAAGAGAAGGCCTATGAGCATGGCTAGGGCCTGTGAGCATGCCTGGGGCTAGACCAAACCACAACCTCCATACTGCTGGTGCTTGCATYACCCTTTTTCCAGCTCTTTCATTTGTGTGGGCTCTGCCTCTTCTTCCCTTCTTTTTTTTCCCCCCACTGCTCCAATCACCCCCTGCAGCCAGTAACCCCTGCACAAAATATGTGCAACCTCACCTGTATGCAACTCCTTTGCCTCTGCACAAGCACATGCTTGAGAGCATGTGTCCCATTTTCTGCTGGAACACAGAAGTGTTTCTATTCTCCCTGCACATAGCCCTGCTTACCTTTTTCCCASAGCACACACAAAGGGGCATTTCTTTTTTTTCCCAGATGCACCCTTGCCCTGATGCTGAACCTGATTGTGCTCTGCTATCCACTTACAGGCTTACACTGTGACATTACCAAGCTTGTTATACAAGTCACACAGAATGGTCTTCATGTTGTCCCTGGTGTCCAGCCTCTCTATGCTGCTTCTACCTCGGCTTCCTACCCACCTCTCTCATCAACTTGCCTCTCCTCTGACCCAGTTGAACTTGGGTCTTTCCTCTCCAAATTTCTGCTTTCCCTGAGGTTTATGTACTCCTTCACCATATTCAGGTTTTGCAGTCATGTCCCCTGATGCTGCTGCAGCCAATTACAGACCACTCTGGGCTGATGGAGCCTTGCACTCTTCTTTGTGTTCAAATTAAACACATCGAACATCAGAAGAAAAAGAGAAGAGATGGGTGTGGATGCATTTTACATGCTTTCTGCACCAGAAGCTTTGACCCCAAGAGTTACAACACATGTCAGTGGAAAGATATGGGCTCTGCTGGGAGATGGTAAAATAGGAAGAACTAGAGAAAGTGCATAAAAAGAACAACTCAGAGCTAGAGGCAGTTTAAGCAGTTATGTGGTAGTGYGGTGTGTGTGCATGCCCGCATGTGCCCAGGTACATAAAGCAATATAGATGCCTCAATAGCAACTTCCAGCTTTGTAACTTTTGAGGATAWCATTTTTGTGTGAGTGCTGCTGCTGTGTTCATGTGTAGTTTCTGCCTGTGCTGGATGTTGATGAGTATTTGTGTTTTCCATGTGACAGAATGTGGCTGGTGGTTGATGGTGCTGGGGCTAGCATTTAGGATCCAGAATGATGGTATGCCACTGTGTGGGTTGAATTAGGTAGGTAACAGTATCTGATGCTATCACTTTGTTTGCTGCAGGCAATTTGTAAGCATAGTATATTTGTGTGTGACATGCAGTGAGCAGTGATTGCTTGACTTACRTATTTAAGCATGTGAAGATGGTTTATGTGCTTATTGCCTATTGATGAATGTTTTGTAATATACTGGTTACGCTGTGTTTTCATCGATATAGATGTTTGTGTRTGTGTGCACATGTTTTTATTTTTAGTCTCTGATATGGAAGTATGTTTATTAAATGATGTATATTCGTATGTTTGTGTGAAGTTATGTAGAAGCAGTCAGGTGCTTGGGTATGGTAGGTATGTTCAGACATTCAGCATRTATTTGTGAAGTGGTTGGTTTTAATTATTCTGTATACAAATACAGCTGCTCTTTATTTGTATGAGTGGTGGTACAGGCAGGATGTAGCTGATGTAGTGGTGTGAAGGTTGACTGAAACTATCACATATGCATGTTAATACAGCTGTGCAAACTTGCAGATGAAGGATGTTAAGAAGAAAAGCAAACATCTCATCCTTTGGAGGGAATTCAAATCATTAGATGATTTATGCAAGGCTGTGCGTCAGTCTGCATGGGCATGAAGAAGCTATAGTGTATGCGTATAGCGTGTTCGTAGCAATTTGAGTGTGGATAATGTGCTTGCAGGAAGGCCTGTCTGGATGATGTGAGCAAGACTACAAGGTTGTGCATACACATGGATGTGACTGAGTGTGTAGGCTTCAGCTGCTCCCTGTGTGGCCCCATCAGACACTTGGCTTGCCCCATACTAAGCCAGACTCTATATCCTTTTGTCTCTAGTGGGGCAGCTTGGCCCTTGAGATACAGGCCATCCTCTTTCCATGCATTAAATCTGTTTCCATCAGTCTGTCTGTCTGCTCTGCTGCCCATGTCCACTTGTCTCTTCCCATAATAACTGATACGCCCTTACTTGCTCATACTCCACACTGCCTGTGGACTCAGCAGCTGTGCATCTCTCTGTCCCTCCCACACACACACATTCACACACACATACACACACACACACTGGATCTTCATCTGTGGTATATTCAGTTGCCATTGGAAACCTAAGAAAGAAATGAATCTACCCTCCAAGTCTAAAGCTGGTGTTTTTTTTTTTTTTTCCCTTCCCCTTTCTCCTCTCTTCACAGAAGGTAAAGTCTTTCGCAATGAATCCAAGGCAGCTTCGATCGAGCAGTGAGCTGGAGCACCTACGTACAGGCTACTCCTTGATGTGACTGAAAAGAGGCCTATTCCGGGACTCTGAAAGGACGGTGGGGCTGTGGATTTACCTCCCACACACCTGGGCACTCAGAGTACAAGCACTGTGAGGTAAGCAAACCTTGGCACCTGTGTGTGTGTATGTCTGTTGCCTKTTCCCCAAAGGCGCAAGGGAAGGAAAGGCAGGGGTTTCTGTAGGCCTGGAGTGTAGGCTTTAATCAGATGCCCCTTAATGAAGAACTGCTCCCTCCCCTCCTTTCTTTGCAGCGCTGCATGCATATGCAGGGASGGGTTGCTTGCAAAGCAGCAGGAGAAAACACTGCAGGTTTGCTGCATGTAGTTCTGAAATCCTTCCTCCGCTTCCTGATTCCCCCCCTCTCCATGCACCTGCCCGTTCTTTCCTGTATGATCTCTTCCTCCCCCTCCTCTGTTTGGTGGGGGAAGGGGTGGCTGGGTTAAGGCTCCCRAGAGACTGTGGAGCAAGTGACAGGTTTGATCAGCAAAACGTCTGGGCTCTGCAAATGAGGCTTGGCCTGCTCAGAGATGCGGCTTGCTTCAGAAGACTAACAGGCATCACCTTGCCAGGAGTGGGGGAACTCTCCCTCTTCAGCACTCGGATATTTTGCGTTTACCCGTTCCCTGAGGATGGAGCTAGCCTTCATTTCTTAGCTAGGGACTCTCTCTAAACAGTCCGCCCAGCCTGGCACAGCTTTTAGGGTGATGGACATGCTCCTTGTCATTGCCTATCTGGGTGCTGTCCCTTGGTGCCCCTGCCTGGCCATCAGAGAGATTTTCCTGCTGGAGACACTGTGTTTCATAAGCCGGGAACGCTGTGTACCCTACACAGGCAGTGAATGGTCCCCGTGCCGAGCCTGACCCATTTTGGGGCGCAAACCTCGTGGGAGCTCCTGAATGGGCCTCCTGCTGCCTGGGGCTGCCCTTTGTGCCCCTTTCCAGAGCTCCCCTGCAGGGAACCTGACGACATCAGCCGCACTGATTCCATGCAGCGTTTTTGTGCTGATGGAGCTGCTGCAGCATGAGGAAGGGAAGACAGGGAGGAACAGCTGTTTCTCTCCGTGCCTGGGAAGGCCTGGCAGTGCTGTCGGCCCTTGAGGGGTGCAGATGTGCCAGGAGGTGTCTCACAATAAGACCTGAAACATTGAGCTCCTGCTAAGAGAGAAGGGAGAGGGCAACCCCACAGGAGAGGGTTCCTGAGTGAAGGGCTGGGGTTTGTGCTTGCCAAGCTCTGCACAGGCTCTGGCAGAGGTCTCAGCTTTCTGACTGAGATCTGGAGGCTGCTGTGTGTCTCCAGGCCGGCGGGACCTGTGCTCTAGTGCAGCCCTGGTAGTTGTGCTGGTGTGGATGTAGGTTGCCCCCTCGAGCTGTSTCATGCCTGATGTGGCTCTGTGATGCCGCTCAGCCCGGTGGATGTCTACCGTCTCCGAGCTGCCACGGTGGGAGTCAGCTCTGAGCTCTTTTCTGGCTGCAGCTCCCGGTACTCTCTTTCTGGCTGCTCTAGCAACCTAGACACTTCCCCATCTACCTGAACTACTGTCATCAGCTTCTGCTGAGCGAGAACAGTGCTGGCTGTTGCTTGTACCTTGCGGGATACTTTGATCCCCTGATTTTGTTTTTCCTTTTTCAGCAGCACCCCTTCCTCATCCCTTCTCCAGCATCTCCCTTCCCCTGTGACACTTCAGTGCTGGGCAGGAACAGGGTGGGGGAAGACTTAGGCAGTTCTTCACAGGTGGGATCGTTTCTGAATTGTCTTGCTGGCTGACAGTGCTGTGAAGTGATCTTTTCCCCTGTGGTTCACACCCTTCAGCCTGCGTCTGTGTGTGCATATGTGCGTTGTGGGTGGGGAAGTGACTTTAGTGTTGTTGTGTTGCTGTTCCTCTTAGCGGGGACTGGGCAGGAATGAAACCATGCAGTGGCATTCAGTCCCACTCCGGGAGTTTGMAGAAAATGAGCTTCCAGGTTGGAGGTTCTGAAGCTATTTGGCATTGATTAAATTCTTTGGCCCTCTCTGGGCACGGCTTTGGCACTGACTCAGAGTGGACGACAAAATAAATCCAAATTTAGGAAGCTTTGGTACAGGGTCAGAACTGCTGTGGTTACATGGTAGAAAATGCTGATCCAGTATGAACTCACTTTGACAGTTCAAATTTGTTTAGAGAACAATGATGGCTTAACTCTGTAGTGGCAAAAATTATGTGGCTTTGGATATTATCTGTCTGYACCACTCCAGCTTGATGCTGGCTTGAGTGTTGTTTGTCCTTCCACATCTGGCATGGACTCTCGATCGTGTGTGCTCTAGCTAATTTGACAGATGCAATTGCATACTGCAGCCAATATCATTCAGTCCCTCCTCTTGGGCAAGCTGTTTTGAAAGAGCTTGAATTACCATCTTAGCAGGATGCAAGCCCTATCCCATATCATGCAGGTGCCCTACCCTTTCAGGAGTTATACCAGACCTTATCTTCTGGATGCCTGAAGGAGCACTATCTGCTGAGGTAGAAAATGATCTCTTTGTAGATCCATCTCTCTTAGCCCTACAGGAGCTTCAGGGAGCTCATAGAGCAAAGAGCATTTCCTCTGGCTGGTGGCCCCATTTCTGCTTGGCTTTCTCTGTGGGATTTTGCGCAGTGCCTTTCACTCTTCACACTCCCCAGGACAGTGTGTATGTGGGGATGAGAGACACTCACATTAGTTCAGAGGAGGATAGGCCCCCCTCAGAAGGGAAAAGATGAGAAGTGTTGTTTTGGCAAGAAGATGCTGCTCTCCAGCCCTGACTACTCAGTGCATGGGCCCTGTAGCAGCACTGCTGTTTCTCACAGGGGTTGTATTGGCAGAAAATTGGGTTGCACTGTGAGTGAGAGTTGAGATTACCCTATTGGAGACATGTGCTTACTTGGGACAGAGTATGAGTACCAATGAATATTGTTATAGTACAGGGACTCATTCCAGATCTATTGCTTTGGGACTTGTTATTGAGGAAGGTAGTTTTATTTATAGAGGAGCAAAGGATAAGAAGGTAGTGCTGGGTAATTTATCTCATACTTGTGTGTGGATATGTGCAAGCTTCTGGTAATAAGAAAGAGYGTGATGTGTTGACCTGTGTGGAGTCAGTTTTTAAGCCCAGCAGGATGAAGTAAGGAGCTTGGGATTCAATTTACGAGGTGAARCCAATAGATATTACCAAAAAAACTAAAAACCTTGTGTGTAAAGATTTCTAAATCCTAATCCTGAGCAGGCCTTGGACCTGTCATCATACTATGTCTGAGTTTCCCCTACATTTAAGTGGAGCAGATCATAGTGCCTAACAGTAGGTRAGATGATGTGGATGGGGAGGAGGGAAGACAGGGATGGTTTACAGTGTACATGATGCTTCATGCTGCACAGAGGAATGCTGTGGAGACATGCAGGGACATGCAGCCTGTGGACCCTGCACTGGCATGTCCGTCTACTGGCCTTTGTGTGKGGGGGGCTGGGTGCAGGAGGCCAATCTGTAATGTCTGGGTGGTGCGTGCCAGGACTGAGGCAGTGATTCACTCAAATCTCTGTTTGTTTGAGAATAGAAAGAGAGTTTGTGGCCTGCCACTTGGGAAACAGCGTGGGGATTCGGCAGTGGAGGGCAAGCTTCTTGGCTGGGCCTCGCTAAGCAGCCATGCAGGGTGTATGTATCTCAGAGAAGCAAAGGGGTTCCTGGCACAGGCTGCGATGGGTGGCTGGCTGACTTCAGTTCTCCCCTCACCTCACATCCCTGCCTCATCCACTGCCAGCGTGCTGCTGGGCTGCCAAGTACAGCCCCAAGATGTACACGCAGGACAGAGCCACTTGCACCAAAAGACTAGGAGGAGTAAAGAGTTTTGTGAGGAAGAGCATACTACCTCCCTGTCTCCTCCTGCCAGGCTTGGGCCTTGTGCAATAGCAAAGCAGCTGCACAGGTATTTGTGCTCCTTCAAAAGTCCAGTGAGACTGTTCAGCCCACACTGGCATCTACAGGGTGGTGRTGTGTTGAGCCGAGGACAGAGGCTTGGAAATTGTGTTGGGCTAAATTCAAGGTTGGAGAAGGCCTCTTCCTCACACGTGTTCCTCCCTGTCTCATCTCCGAAATGCCTCTGTGCTTGGGTAAGCATGAGCTGTGATTCGTTTCTAAGAGGTAGAGACCTGCAAGCAGGCTGACAGGGAAGTGGGTGTGGGAGGAAAGGGGAATTGTGACGCACATAGGGGTATGGAAAGGATGGAGGCACTAAAGAGAGAAGACCTGAGAGAAAAGGGACAGAAAAAGCAAAGTTTTACCTGATCACTTTGGTACTAGACACAGATATGACCTGAAAACCCCTGCAGAGACAACCCAGCTCTGCACAATGGACAGCTCATGTTGAGGCTACCTCATTAATCTAGGGAATTCCCAGCCTGATATTCGCCCTTCTTGCCCCTGTGCTGCCTTCTCCCTTGCATGGTCCTCTGCCCCAAGATGGAGGGTGGAATATGGCAGAGAAACACTTCCTCTGCCAGACTTGTTCACTGTGTTAAAGCAGGGAGCTTCCCATATACAGCACCAGAACAAACAGATTAGTTAAGTGCAAAGGAGAACCATTTCAGCCGGGATGTTCAGACARATTCTGCTGGAGTAAGCAGAAGGGGCTCAGATCCACATAGCCAGTGGAAATAAGTTATCAGCTATAGCCCTTGGACCTGGCCTTGTGGAGCTGGGGGAGCTGACTATGCTTCTTGTCTTTGCTTAGAATTGCCTTGCTCTCCACTGGAAGGATGCTAGTGAGTCTTAGAGGGACAGACTTTCTAGGTTACGTATGAACATGGGATTTGCCTTTAGATGGTTTCCCAGAAATATTTATGTCCACATTACCTCACATAGGCAGTGTCAGCAAAGCATGAATTCAGTAAGCCACAGGAAGCTGAATTGTCTCTACAGCCTCCCCCTCAACTTATCCTGCAAGAATTGAATAGCAGTGACTAGTTAAGAGGGATTTTATCCAAATGCYTTGAAAAATATACCTCAGTAGGGGTATCAGGTAGGGCAAGTATACCAGGTATGACACAGAGTGAAAGGCAGATTTCCTACAGAAGTTTTGAGTGTGATTTGA